GAATTCCAAAGAAAGTAATACATAATATTCCTTTTATTTCACTTTTATGAATTGAATAAAACTAAGTAATTTATCTCAGCATTCAAATGTACAGCAGTACATTCCTCATCCCACAGTTGAGGCTCAAGACAAACATCGCTTCTTTACCAATATTTTAAACTATATTTTATAGTGAAATTCTGAGCCAGAGAGAATGCAGCAGCAGAAGGAAGCCAGCAGGGCACCACTTTTTCAAGCTCTTAGAAGTGCTTGCCCTCGGAATGGGCTGTTCTGATGCTGGGCCTCTTTCCCAGCCGGTCTCCTTATCCCTATATTCTTGCTGACGTGGCTCCGAGAGACAGAGGAAGCCCCTGGAGGTCACTCAGGACGTCTTTGCTGGAATCAGGAAGACAGACAGGGTTTTGGACTCCAAGTCCCTTGATGAAATCAATAGACTCCTCCCTCCCTCCCTCCGCCCAGCCCTGCCTCTGCACTGCTTCCACCTTGGTATTCAGGAGCCCTGAGCTGAGCTGGTATTGCAAAGAGAAACTCAATTTTTGTACTTCCTGAGCATTTAAGCCCGAAAAAAGTCCTGTCTCTAATGTAAAAACCACAGGCATTCATCATTTCTCATCTCCTTAATAGATAGGGAGGGAAAGAAGAAGAAATAGCAATAATTTGGATATGTTGCTTAAATGCTGCTGCTGAAACCGCTGTCGAAAGCAAAGTAGCGAGTACTTTTGTCCCTGAATCCCACAGAAATTTCTCTCTGCTTTTATTATTCTCATTGAACTGGAATGGGAGCTCATATAAATAAATAAATAAGGAAGCCAACTTCAAACAAAAAGAAAACAGAGTCAACCCAGGGTTGGGGGCCTGAGGAGGACATTTTTTTAGAGAACACCAGGGTTTTATTCTGATATTTACACCTGTGATTTTTAAATAAGCAACATGGGTCCTCTTAGGAAGTAGATAATTATCCTAGATTGTCAACCAGCTGGTGGTAGAAAAAAATCCACAGGAATCACCTAAGCTTGTAATCCCAACAGGAAAAATGCAACTAACTTGGTTAGGCAGCAACTAAAAACTGCAGTCATATAACAATGAGGATTAGTAGAAAGAACTTGGCCTGTGGAGCCAATATTGGGCACAAATGAGAGCTGCTTGATATTAGGCAAGCCCCTTGACCTAACTGAGCCTCAGTTTTTTCATTTGTAAATGGGAATAATAACAATAGTGAGATTGGAGAGATAAGTTAAAACTTCTAGTTCATGGTAGGTACCCTGTTCATGTTAGTTTCCCTCCCCCGCCCCCCAATCTTTTCATTCTTCTCCCAAGCATACAACAACTGCACTTCCTTCCTCCTTGAAATAAATATGGCTGTGTGAGTTGCTTTAGCAAATGAAATTTGAGCAGCTTTAAAAGCAAGTCAAAGATTTGTCATGCATCTTTTCTCTCTAGAAAGCAACTGGCAATGTTGCAGATAAGTGAGCAGCTTGGGGTCAGGGGTGAGGATGACACAGTAAAATTCACAAAGGATGGGTATTGTGAGTGAGAAACAAGAACTTTTGTTACTTTATGCCACTGTGACTTTTGAGCTCTTTGTTACTGCAGCATAACCTGCACCTTCCTATTAACTCACTAACCTTTAAATAACTGCATTTGCCAGTAACTCGTTAATTCATTCCACAGATATGTGTTGAACAAGCACGGTGCTACATGCTGGGAAATGCATGATCCTGATTCTTGCCCTCAAAGAACTCATGGTAAGGGGGGAAAAAAGAGGGTCATTCTCGGAAATCTTTAAAAAATATATCTCCTGTTGATTCTAGTGATTAACAAGAATCAAGGTTGGGACATATATCAAATCCTTCATATATGTCCTGACTGCCTGCAGAAACTGGTCACAGAGAAGCTGGAGATGATAACACAAGGGTAGTAATGTGGAGGGAGAATGAGAAAAAGAAAAAAAAAGATGGTTAAACTGACAAAGTAAGAACTGAATACTGCATCTTGTCCGTTGGTTGCCTGAAATTTAACCTGCCAGGAACTCTCTCTGACTATTTTAGTACCATGGGACTTACGAACAAAAGTCCCCAAACAAAAGTCCCCAAACAAAAGTCCCCGGGGTGATCAAGGGACATCCCCTGGGCGGGGCACCAGAAGCAAAAACTAAGGGACCAGAGGCATGTAAGAGCTGCCTTGGGGAGATAGTGGCTCTGGGCAGCAGCAGAGGGAGAGTGTGGAAATGGGACTCGCCACCTGGAGCAAGGCCCACAGTGAGTGCAGAAAAAGCACCTGGAAGAAAAAAAAGGAAGGGAGGGAGGGAGGGAAACAGGTAGTGTGGGAGGGTGGAGGGAAGGAGAGAGGAAGGGAGGAAAAAAGAAAGAAGGGGGAGGAACCTCGAGTTTTAAAAAAAAGATAGTGCTCCTTGGCTAGAGCAAGGCCTAAGGGAGAGCCCAAAGCTGGCACCAATCAGCTTCTGTCCCTTAGAGCATTCCAGCAGGCCCCCACATGCCTGTCAGTCAGATGCCTGCCCCCCTCGGGCAAAGCTCCAAGACCAGCAAAGCGACTGACCACTCTGCACAAACTCTGGGCCTCCAAGGGCGCTTCTGCTGGGCCTAAGGAGGCTGAGTGCAAAGTGAGCACCTCGAGAGCTGTTTCTCAGGTTGTGGTCGCTTGTGGGTCTCATGGGTGGGAGCCCCGTTGGTTCTCAAAGCTAGCAAGGAGGCCTTCTGCCTTTCACCCCTCAATTCTTCCCTTCTTCCTGCCTGTAATGCAGATGTAACGCCTGGAAGAGGCAACCACTTTGTGGCTGTGAGGAAAACCATACATTAAGGAAGGCCGATCAAAGGATTTGGGTTTCTTGATGGCATCATTGAGCTATCATACAAATCCTAGAAAGTCTGCCTTCAGGCTTCTTTTTACATGGGACAAACTCTCATTTGGTTGAAATTCTACGGATGAGTTTCTATTATACGCAGCCAAGTACAAACCTTAACCAATACAACCTGCACACTGATAAGTTCTTCATCTGGACCTCATCTGGGCCTTATTCCCTTCCCATCAGTGGGACTCTGGCTATTTCTGGGCTGCATGAGGAAGTAGCTGGCTAACATTTATAAAGATCCTAGGAGAACATTACATGGTTATAGGAATATATTTCAAAAATCTATTCTAATCTTTTTCTTTTAAGCAGAACCTGTATACTGTACATAGCTTCTCTCCTTCCCACCCTACCCCTACGTAGCCAGGGGCACCCATTGCAGGAGGGAAGATTAGAATCGTTAGACCAGGCAAGCAAAGACAAAGGCAATGTAAGTTAAAACCTAATGGATCACCCTGAGGTTCAGTTTGTATAGAAAAGGCAGAATAAATGCATGATTGTTTCTTTTTTAAAAAAAAATTTTAAATAATGAGTTCATTCCCTTACCCATCGACAGTAACCAATCAATTGAGTTCCTTTAGAATTCTTTTAAACTTGTAGATATAATCCTATTTGATGTGTTTGCAACAATTGTAATTATCAAATTTTCGTGCTCAAATTGACCCATCCTTGCCTAGTGGGCAAGGCCTATTTGAATTGGTCCTTAGTCTTTTTGACACAATCCTAGTGGTTGATACTTTCCTTGCTTTCTGTAATTATTTTAAAATAAAATGATCTGGTGTCTGGGATTTGCTTTAAAATGATGGCATGAGAAAAAGATGAAACATGAGTTGATAATTGTTCAGGCTGGGTGGTGGCCCCATGGAGGTTCATTATACTATTCTCTTACATTTGTGTATGTCTGAAATTTTCCAAAATAAAAATGAAAGATAAAAAAAAAACACTTCAGCTTATGACTTCCAAGAGGACACTGAAGTCCTTAGCAAGACAATGGTCTTAAGTGCCTGACTTTGATGGGAGAAAGAGATTTCTAAGGCTTTTTTTGATGTAGCAAGAGTAAATGTAGATAGAGGTCTGAGTATAGAACTGTATTCAAATTCATAAGTATGTTCCTTCTTCCTGTGATCCACATCCCCCCAGTCCCAGGAAGGCAATAAAAAAAAGAAGCCTGGGCTGGCTTTAGCTCAGCTGTTCCTTCTTCCTGTCAAGTCTTCGCTAGCCAACCACTCTTGCTTGCCAGGGTGGTTCCAGACCAGGGGCACCCTCCAAGCCCTTTAAAAAACAAACAACAAAACAAAACACCTCTAAGTGGAAAACAGTAGGAGGGTGAAGGGTAAGGAGAGTGGGGCAAGTCCCAGGGTTTCTCGTGGGTGCCTCTTGGCAGTTTTGGTGGTGGTCACAGGTGGGTAGAAGGGGGTCCCTCATGAACTGGCTTGTTTCATGTGCTCCCACTCTTGGGCCCATTTCTTGTCTCTAATCTCCGACAAGCTTGACTCATTTTCTCGTGGTCAAGAGGCTCTTGCTTTCCAGACAGGACAGGAAGGAGCCCTGAGCTGGGAGCCCAGATGCCAGCGTCTGAGCCCTGTCTGTAACTCAAGATGACACTATTTTAGATCTCAGCTTCATCACCCATGAAATAAGCCTCCAGTGTTCCCACCATGCGAAGCTGGGACTCCAGGAGCAGACGGCCTTGTAGGCCTTCATGCCTTTCCCCCAAACATCTTTTCCACCTTTACACATGACATCACCTCCCAAAGAAATAGTAACTGTGGTCACTTTTTGCAAACAACTGGGGAGGAGGTGCCGGGCATAGATGACACCAAAGTTGGCAGCACTCTCAGGCTTGGGGAATCCGGTGCGACCCGATCTGGACGATTTCTCCTCTCTGTCCTTGCTCGCCCGCAGATCCTGACCCCGGTTCCCACTGCGGAGAAATCTCCTAAGAGACGGCTGCCGGCGTCGCCTCTGCTCCCCGGAGGCGTGGAGCCGAGCGCGCGGGAGCCGAGCGCGCCGCGGCCACGCTCCCCGCGCAGAGCCGGGAGGGAGGGGCCGGAGGGGCCGGGCCGCACCGGAGGCGGCGCGCGGGGCTCACGGCGCTCAGTCTCCCTCGGAACCCAGCCCGGCCGGCGGCAGCGGCGGCGAGTGCGAGCAGGAGCCCGAGCCCGAGCCCGGGCCTCGGAGCGGGGAGGTGGAGGGCCGGTGCAGGGCTGGAGCAGCGCTGGACGGGACGCAGACCGCGCCTGGACCCCCGCCGTGTGCGCGTCTCCCTGGCGATCCCGGTGAGTGCCCGAGCCCGAGCCCGAGCCCGAGCCCCTGCCAGCCGCCTGGTTTGCTGGCCGCCTCGGTCCTTGGTCGCTGTCCCCAATCCCGGTGGCGCGCACCCCGTTGCTGCGCCGCCGCAGCCTCACAGGTGGCTCCGCGGTGGACGTGGCTGCCCCAGGCCCCGCCAGGAGTTAGCCAACTCTCTCCGCTCCCGGCGCGGCTCCCGAGCCTCCGCGGCTCCCACCTACCGCCCTAGCTTCCGGCTTGGGGTGGGGAGCGCACCGAGGGGTGCTCCCCTTTCCCCACCCACCGCTAACGATTCGGGGAGATGTGGGCCAAGCGCCTCCCCGAGCTGCAGCTCAGCTCCCGGCTCGCTAATGGGACAGCCTGTCCTTTAGTTTTCTTCTCCTATGAACCCACCAGGGAAAGTTCGGGACCACACGAGGCAAAGTTGGGGCGTGGCTGGGGGCACACTTCGCCGGCGGGGGCCGCTCTCCTGGAGCGGAGCTGTGGGTTTGCGGGTCGAGCCCGACTCCAGCTGGAGCCGACAGTGCACCCTGGGAGTTGAGTTGGTCTCTGCCGGCGGCTCAGCGCTGTCTGCGAGGATCCCCGGAGAGCTGTGAGTCGCTCTATGGCTCCTGCTAAGAGTATAGACTAGACAGCTGGGACGGGCTTGGTTTATCTCAGAAATAAGCAGCATCTCCGCCTGTTTTGACTTGTGCTCTTGCTCTGCAAACCTGAGCTCCAGCTAATCTCAGTGTTTAACTGGCGGGGTGTATAATTAGCTTATTTGACACCTGAGATGATCTCTGCGAATGTCCCTAAAGTGAAATCTTTGATGTGGGGATTTGGGGTGGGGGTGGGGGGGTGCGGAGGAGGAAGGGGAGACTGTTTTTAAAGAAAGTTAGAGAGAGGAACCTTCAGAATATCAGCGGCGGGGTCTGGATATTTTACCCATCCCCTCTGTGGGCTAGAGAATGAGAGCTGCTTGGATGGATGTCTGACTGACTAGATGAGTCGGTATTGGGGCTATTTTGGGCAGGTTTTGTGGCTGGAGGTATTGCTGCAGCTTGCATATTGTTTATGAAGTACACATTTGGTCTCTTGAAATAGCCTTCTTGTTAAGAGTTGTTTGATTTGCTAAGTTGTCTATTTCGAATATGACTGGAGATTGGTTTTTAAAATGAGCTTTAGCTGACAACAATGTCTAGATGTAGAGGGAAGACCATTTGTTCGTGTCGCTAGAACATTCTTTTGTAAACTTAAATTTTTCAAGGTCTAGCTTTCTGCATCGGATAGAGGAGAAGCTGTTCATGAAAAATCAAATCCTGAGATCTTGATGTGTTCAGGAAAAGATTGCTCCCTCCACCAACACTCAACCTTTTCCAAACAGGTTAAATCAGAAGATGTGCCTGCATCTGGAATTACATAATTGGACTAACAGAAAACAGTAAACAGTTGCTGGTTGTCAAGTACATAGGTAGTTCTAAAAGCAGTGGTATCTTTGTAGCACTGGGAGGTTGTTACGTGATTTAGGGTGGAATAAACAGACAGATTTTCATCTAGAAAATTTTTTATACTTCACACACATCTACATAGTCTATACCTAACATTGGACTTACCAACATGCTTGTGTTTGTATATACATTGTTGTAAGTGCCTACTATGTGCCACATCCTGTTCTCAGTGCTTCATGTGCTTTAACTCATCCTCAAAGCAATCCTTGGTGGTAGGTGCTGCCACTGTCCTCGTTTTTGAAATGGGGCAACTGAGGCACAAAGGAGTTACGTAACTCACACAGCTATAGGATAGGACGGTCTTAAATCTACAAAGTTCGTTTTGTAAAAAAAGACGTATTTATGATGACCTTATCCTTGTTTTTACTTTTTGAAGCATAAATGTCGAAAGTATTTCCTGTGATGCATAAGAACCCCTGACTGTGGAAGTGCCGCGCAAGCACCATTGACTCTCAAGTGAGGCAAATTATGAAAGAGCCGTCTGGTTGAGTTTACAACTGGAAGACCACCACGCCCACCAGGAAACCCGGGATGGAGCCGCACCAGAGCACCCCCCTCACTTTCCCTGAGAAACGGTGTCCAGAGAAGTCACCGTCTGGCTGCAGGAAACATTATACTGTCAGGAAAAAACTGAAGTTCATCCGAATCTTAGGCCTTTTCATGGGCCTGGTAGCCATCAGCGCGGTCCCATTTGCAACTGGTGTCTTTTCTGAGACAGAGACACAGAGCCCAGGAGAGGCCAGTGGTGCAAAGGGCCCCGGGGTGGCACCCAGTTACCGGCAGAGAACTCTCTTAGATTTAAATGACAAGATTCCGGATTACACTTCACAGCCACCTCTTTCTGAGGAAGGCACATCTGAGAATAGCACAGAGGAGGAGCAAGGAAACTATCCAAGAGACATCTTTTCCCTCGAGGAGCGAAGAAAAGGCGCCATCCTTCTCCACGTCATTGGCATGATCTACATGTTCATCGCCTTAGCCATTGTCTGCGATGAGTTCTTTGTTCCTTCTTTGACTGTCATCACTGAAAAGCTGGCCATCTCTGATGATGTTGCCGGAGCCACCTTTATGGCTGCTGGGGGCTCGGCCCCAGAACTTTTCACGTCCCTCATCGGGGTGTTTATTGCTCACAGCAATGTCGGCATAGGCACGATCGTGGGCTCGGCGGTGTTCAATATCCTCTTTGTTATTGGCATGTGTGCTCTGTTCTCCAGAGAAATCTTGAACCTGACATGGTGGCCACTCTTTCGGGATGTGTCCTTCTACATCATTGACTTGATCATGCTGATCCTGTTTTTCCTGGACAACATCATCATGTGGTGGGAAAGCTTGCTTCTCTTAACAGCTTACTTTGTCTATGTGATCTTCATGAAATTCAACGTCCAGGTAGAAAGATGGGTGAAGCAAATGATAAGCTGCAATAAAGTCGTCAAGGTGGCAGCACCAGAGGCCCAAGCAAAGGTTGGTGGTGGGGGCTGTTTGTCGAATGTTCTGAATTATGATGTTTTTGAGATCTGCCATTTTTTAATGTGATGGTGTTTGGGGCTGCAGTGGATAATGGGTTGCTTTCTACAGTTCTCCGCTAGCCAGACTAACATGGCAGTGAGAAAAATTATGTGGAAATGTTCTTGTGAATCTTTACTAAGTTCTCAAGCTGCTGGCTTCAGAGTAAAACACTTACATAAATATAGGTTACATAAGTACCCCAGAGCAGACTCAGTAAACAAAATGATCTGTCTCTTATTTTCTGCAAGTAGGTATAATGATTCTGTGAACAATTTAATGTTCATGGGGAAGTTAATGGTAATTAAGAAAGAACATTTGTGTCACCAAAGCTATCTCTTTTTAAAAAAATATATTTTATTGATTTTTTAATAATAAAAAATTATTAAAAGGAAGGGAGAGGAATAGAGGAAGGGAGAGGAATAGAGAGTTAGGAACATCGATGAGAGAGAAACATCGATCAGCTGCCTCCTGCACACTCCCTACTGGGGATGTGCCCGCAACCAAGGTACATGCCCTTGACCGGAATCAAACCTGGGACCCTTCAGTCCACAGGCCGACGCTCTATCCACTGAGCCAAACCGGTTAGGGCCAAAGCTATCTCTTTAAGTCAACAGCCTAGCAACTAGCAGGACTGGTCATTAGAGTGGGTCATGGCTATTCTTGATCTACACAGAAATGCTCCGGATCACTTGGTCAGGGACTGATTGGGATCCATTACAGAGAGTCACTGGCAGGCCCTGCTGTCTGACGATGTAGCTCGAGGGCACATTTCGCACACCATGATAAACATGCCCCCAAATATTTTTATAGTAGACTTTGAGGGGTTTTTAATGACAATAGTGGCCATCCTACCACTTAGCTGGTGAGCAAATTGGTAAAGAGCTTAGAAGAAATTGATCTGCAAAAATGTAAATCCTCGCATTGGGATGTTGTCTCTGAATGTGATTTTAAACAGAAAACCAAAATACATATGCAGACTTCATACTAGCATCTGGGGAAATTCTCATGTGTGCAAAAAAACAGATGTTGAGTGGAGGGTGAGATATTTTGTTCAGCATGAAAAGAAAAAAAATTATATCAATTTAGTATAACTCCTTTATGGTCAAGTTCGATGACCTATCCATTTCTTTCTATCTTTTTTTTTTTTTGTAGCAGCCATGAAATGGGAGCAGAGTGCAGAAAAACATACCAGTAATATTTCTATTTATTATATGCAAAAGAGAACTGTATTTTTTAATATTTCACTCAGTGTATGGTTGTTTGTTAGAAACTGCAGTAAAAATAATCACTTCGCAATATACATGCAAATAAGCATTCCGGTGTGATACATGAGTACATATCCTTATGGGCGTAGAACAGGGTCATTACTAAAGCCCCTTTCCCTACTCTAACTTTATAGCCAAAACGATGACCTCTCAAGCCCTCTCCTTGACTCTGATTGCTAGTTTGAGTGGTTTGCATTAATAGTCTTACGTGTTTATGGCAACTAGAGTACTGAAGGAAAAGCATATATTTTAGAGGCAAGGAAATGATTTGGTGTCATAAATATCCTGGGCACATCAAGGGCAAAATGTCTTTTTGAGAACTCACCATTTTTTTTCCCCTGTTACCCCATAGTGCAGCGGTTCTCAACCTGTGGGTCGCGACCCCTTTGGCGGTCGAACGACCCTTTCACAGGGGTCGCCTAAGATCATCCTGCATATCAGATATTTACATTAGGATTCATAACAGTAGCAAAATTACAGTTATGAAGTAGCAACGAAAATAATTTTATGGTTGGGGGTCACAACATGAGGAACTGTTTTAAAGGGCCAGAAGGTTGAGAACCACTGCCATAGTGGAACTTCATTAATTTAGATACAGACTTGGCTAAAGGTTATGTTGGCAACATTCATGTAAAAGGAATTTGTAGGGCAATGCAATAGTGTATTGAAGATTGCAGGGGGTTTTATATTCTGATTGGGGTGGAATGCTGATCTCATGCATTTGGGAATAACTTTTTAAATACCGTTTATAGACAGTGTTTAGTCAGTCAGAAGCCATTCATTAAAGTAGCTCTAGCAGGATTTTTACCTTCTGTATTAGATGACTGTCATGTCATTTTTATGGTCATTTAAAAGTCAGAAACTTAGGCTCACATTCCTTAATAGTTGTTACTCAGTTCCATAATTTTGCGCTATGCTTAATAGTGTGCATATTTTAATTTGGAGATTGCAGATTTAGCTAATTAAAATAGGAAGAAGATTATATTTATGACTATTACTCCTGTTTCTGATTTTCCCCCAAGTGTGTTCATGTGTTATTTTCCTTTTAGCACCAAATGCCTTTAATTTATTCCTTTTAATTAGTGTTATTTCTTTTGGTATTCAAAAACTAAGTTGAACTATTAATATAATGGAATCATAATTTTTAACATAGTTATGCCTTGTTCGGTAAGCAAAATGTTTGCTGGGTGAATCAAAATGCTAGAACACAGTTATACAGTTTTAGGTGAAACGGTGCATAATGGTGTGCGATTTCCTTCAGTAAAATTTTGCCTTGTCAGTTTCACTTTTGAATGAATTATTGCTGAAAAATTTTGTTCTCAGCAGTTAGTCTTTATCAAGCATCTGATTTCAGAATCTTACAGAGATTTTGCTCCCGAGACCCTAAACATAAGGTGTCCCACAGGCAGATGAGTCCTTGGGTGTGGCCATACAATCCTCTGAGGTGCAAGATTGATTTCTGGCCGTGCACCCCACCTTTCCCACAGAAGTCAGTGCTTCTAGCACAGGGGTGGGCAAACTTTTTGACTCGAGGGCCACAATGGGTTCTTAAACTGGACCGGAGGGCCAGAACAAAAGCATGGATGAAGTGTTTGTGTGAACTAATATAAATTCAAAGTAAACATCATTACATAGAAGGGTACGGTCTTTTTTTTTTTTTTAGTTTTATTCATTTCAAACGGGCCAGATCCGGCCCGCGGGCCGTAGTTTGCCCACGGCTGTTCTAGCATCATCAGAACACTCAAAAGGAAGAGCCTAAGCCAAAATCCAGCCCTCAGTGGAGCCTTCATAAAGAGGAATGTGCTGTATGTAAATTTAGGAAGCAAAATGCTAATTCATGCAAAGCCACTGTATTATCTTATTGCATAATTGTGGGGCATAGGAATTTGGAGAAGTAGAGGAAACATTTTATATATTCTTGTACAAATCATTAAAGGTTCTGGCTAAAAAATCATCAGCTCTGCTGGACTCTAGTCAGTGAAATATCTTTGGAATGACTTGCTTCATAGACAAGTTGAAAGTCTTAATTTGGTTCCATTATTGGTGAAGTAGGTATAGGGCACCATGAAGCATGGAAAAATGTGAACGGCCGTATTTTTCATAGTTAAAGTCATAGTTTATCATCTCAATTGCTCCACCCTGTGTGGTTTTTATTGGTAATTATTTATTTTAGTGATAATATTGTCCTTTTTAAAAAGCTGTGTGGTGTCACAACATGGTAAAGGTACCCTACCTAGGCTTTGACTTCGTGGAAAAAAAGGGGGGGTACCCCCATGTGTGTAATAAGCCCTGTGATCTCAGAGAAGTCGCATAAACTCTCTGAGCCTCCTAATGAAAATAATAATACCGACTTGATAAAGTTTGGAAAATTAATAAACGAAGACTGTTCAGCAGCTACCATAGTCCTTGGCAAATGTGTGTTGTTCAGTAAATGTTCGTTCTCTTCCTTTGATCTTTTGTTCTTAAATGGAAAGAGAATCAGAATACATTATTTCAAATTTGAGAATTTCAAAACATTTCTGGAAGGTTGGCATTCACCCCAGTGAATCACTGAGTTAAGCAGGCCATTGTTTAGAGGCAAATACTGTTTGTCCTATTATAATATATACATATATATACATATATACACATATATACACATATACACATATATATATATACATATATATATATATATATATATATATATATATATATGCAGGCCACTTATTATCATAAACTCCAAGGAGACCTCCAAATGCCTTTGGTATCCCAAAATTTTATTGTGTAGAATTTTTCTTGAAATAAGTAGGCCATTAACTGGGGTTTAGAAAGATCTATGCTAAGCAGAGATTTTTGTTTTAAGGGTGTTTTTATTTATAAATGGTTGAGATTCTCATCTAAAAACCTCTCCACAGCTGGTTAGGAGTAAGTTTGAGTCCTGAAGGATGCGACGCAGGTGAGTTCCAGGGCTTTAGAAGCAGTTCACTGTGCCGGGCCAGCTGCTGAGGTCTGTTGATCTGCTGTGGTGCTAGGCTGTCATTGGCCTAGAAAGCAGCTGTCCATGGTGTTTAACTTCTTAGACTTGGCACTGTAATCTGACAGCAAGTCAACCCAGTTGTAATGAAGGGAATGGTCTAAATAAAGATGCTTAAAGCTGATAGTCTAGGAACAGGCTACTTAGCAATTTAGGTGTGCCTTGCTTTATTCAGATTGTGTGTTCCTGAAAAGTTGTTTGTAAGCAGAATTTTTGCAATTCAAATTGTTATTAATGTTCATGGGAAAATCAGAAATGAAATGTTATAAATATTTCTCTTACAGGGAAGTATTTCTTAAAAACCATAAATAATATTATGAATACAAATGTATAGTCCCGAGTTTGCTTAAGGCACAGAATCAATACTAATGAAAGGGTAATATGCTAATTAGACTGGGAGACCTTCTGGACGTCCTTCCGGACAAAGCCATGGTGGTGGGGCTGAGGCAGAGGTGGTTAGGGGTGATCAGGCCAGGAGGGGAGGGCAGTTGGGGGTGAGCAGGCTGGCAGTGGGGGGCCAGTTGGGGGCAAGCAGGCCGGCGGGGGGGGCAGTTGGGGGAGAGCAGGCTGGCAGTTGGGGGCGATCAGGCCGGTAGGGGGGACAGTTGGGGGCGAGCAGGCCAGCAAGGGGGGGCATATGGGGGTGATCAGGCTGGCAGGGGGGCAGATGGGGG